CCCCTCCTCCCCCTCTCCCATGTCCCCCCAGAACTGTCAGTCCCGTTGTTTTCTCCTCCAGATTATTCATCCAGCCTGTCCTATCCAGACAGGCCCCTTCCCTTTTTTTAAGTGACCCTCTACTTTACCAAGCGCAGTGCTTGCAGTATCCTGACAGGTCACTGGACAGCCTCTTCGGGGTATGCGCCCAATGACAGGGAACTCCCCACAAGCAAAGCAGCTCATTCAAATGGTGCAAATGCGCCTTTCTTCCTGGAGGTTTTTAAAATCATTTTATTGGGGGCTTGTACAGCTCTTAACACAATCCATCCATCCATCCATTGTGTCAAGCACATTTGTACGTTGGTTGCCATCATTGTGTTCCTAACTGGAGTTTGATCTAAGTATTTCTACCTTACCTGGAATCCCCCCCCATACACACACACACACACACACACACACGCCTGAGACATGGCTCAAGCCAAACTCCCTTCCATTGAATCAATGCCTGCAAACGCCTGGCCATGCTCCCGGATGCACTCAAAGCAGGCCTGGCCCCCTAGGGAGACTTCAGCACTCACTGGCTTAGAAAATCAAGGGGCGGCAGACCTTTGAGAAGGGAATGCCGTTCTGCGTGAGCACACACACAGACAGGCGCAGTCCCGCGGGAGTAGCCTCCCTCCTGCAGGATGGAAATGCGCCAGGAGGCCCTGCAGAAGAGTTCCGGTGCTCTTTCTCTCCCTCCAGCGGCCCGCGGCGTGCGGCCGGATCTGTCCATGGTCCTGATCGACAACGGCCTTCCCTTGGGGCAAGATGCAGGCTCGTTCACTGGTTAGGAACAGCCGACATCTATTGAATCTGGTGGCGTGGGGAGTTCCTCATTGGGGAGAATGACAGGGCTTTTTTGCTTCCCTAAAGTTTACAGCCTTGGAAACTCAGTTCTATTCTGTCCCAGAAGGCCACTGTGAGACAGAATTCAATTGATGGCCCTGCTCTCCGGACAGAGACACCCTGTCCTTGCTTTGCTGCACCCACGTGGGCAACTGGAGCTGCGGGAGGGCTCCAGTTGGCAGCCCTGGTGTGCCTCTGGGTGACGCCGCCCAAGAAAAAAGCATGTGCCCCTTCTTTCTGTAAGAAAGCCAGCCTGCCCTGTGCAAAAGAGCCACAGACTGAACCCCCAAAGAAAATGCCTGTTAGGGCCCTCTCTGCTGCTGCAACCTTGAAGGTGGAGCTGTGCAGTCTCCGTGGGGACAAGGTTGACCCCAGACACGGGAGGCGCTACGCCAGGACCGATGGAAAGGTTTTCCAGTTCCTTAATGCAACATGCAAATGGGCATTTCTTTCCAAGAGGATCTCTCGGCAGATAAACCGGACTGTTCTGTACAGAAGAAAGCACAAAAAGGGTCAATTGGAAGAAATTCAAAAGAAAAGAACCCGCCCTGCAGTCAAATTCCAGAGGGCCATCACCGGTGCATTTCTTGCTGATACATTGGCCAAGAAGAATCAGAAACCTGAAGTTAGAAAGGCCCAGCGAGAACAGGCCATCAGGGCTGCCAAGGAAGCAAAAAAGACAAAGCAGGCTTCTAAAGAGACGGCAATGGCTGCTGCTAAGGCCCCCACAGAGGCAGCACCTGAGCAAACGATTGTGAAGCCTGGGAATGCTCCCTGGGTTGGTGGAGAACACCAAGTTGGCAGGTGAGACTTTCAAATAAAGATGCAACTGTAAAAAAGAAAGAGAGAAAGAGCAAAAGAAAGAAAGAAAGAAGGAA